AACACGTCAAACTCAATGTTCCACCTTCGCTAATGCAAAATTCTTGCGCTCGGAAACAGCAAATAGTTCCTTCTCTCTTCAGTTTTGATGGCATAAAAAAGAGTAAAAATGCAGCACTCCCTTTTAACCCTACATCTTCGCTTTGGCTTGAAAATAATAAAAATTTTCTCTTTGAGACACATATGCAAGTGAAATATGAACATCCATTTATCCTTCTGCTTTTAAAGTTTTCAGGATTTTATAATAACGAAATGAAGTAGCAAAGCAGGAAGATGTTGTGTTAAAGAAAAGATACGAATTGAAAATAAGGGGGACGTAATAGAGGAAAAAAATGAAAAAGTTCAAAATAATAATAATATTAATAATTGGAAAAGGAAAGTTGCATATCAGAAGAAGTCATATTGAAGCAGCGCAGGAGATTTTTTTACGAAAAGTTTCAGAAGGGATCATACGGACGGCCGTAATTTTAAAATCTATGAAAGAAAAAAGTTAGTTCTGTATAAAAATTATAGCTGCAAAACAGGAAAGGAATTTTCCGGTCCAAGAAGCTGCAATAATAAAAAGAATTTGTTAGTAATAATAACAATAATAATAGTGGTAATAATTAGATGAAGAACAGTAAAGGGAAAGAGTAAAGAAAGACAAGAATGTATTAAGATTAAAGGGGGTGAGCTAAGCTCTGCAAACAGCGTTACTGTTTGTTTTAGGTGTTATTCATGCGAATCAATGGGGAACCACAGATCATTCGGATTTCGTCATTCTCGCCTAGAAGCACCCAGCGATTTCAGTTTGCTGATATCTGTGAATTCGACTGAAGGGAGGAGGGGGAAGAAAACCCAGTGATAATCAAAGGTACAATATAGTGGTCGAGATGATAATGGATGTGCCTGAAGATGAATGGTTTGATGTAATTGAAGATGGAGGGCTGGATAAAGCGGAGGAAAACGAATATTTCGATGTGGCTGGGCTCACTGAGGTCGTGAAACGAGGAAGCTGTGGTGAGTGGCGCAAGCAGCTGTTATCAAGATCGTTTTCAGAGAAATGCACTCGAACACAGTTTTATTAAGCCATAAAATTGAAT